CCTACACTCACCTTCCTTGGTCTGCACGGCCTTGTTCGCTGTCCCCGGGGTGCTCTCTTCCCGTCGCCGCGATTCCCGTTCCCTGTGCGAGTGGGAGAGAGCCAGTTAGGGTCAGCGCCAGGCTGGGACAGGACATGCCAGTGCCACACGGCAACGTCACCGCTGCAGCCGTCTGAGCCCTTCAAGCTCCAACCCGGCCTGGGGCAGGGCGGGGATGGTGCCGCTCAGCGCTGCCGCCAGCACGGCAGTGGAACGAGGCAGCGGGGATGCTGATGGACACAACAAAGGGGCTTCCCCACCGCTGGGTGACCCAGCAGCCATGTCTCACGGGCCTGGAATAGCCCGGCTCTGGTGGAGAGCAGGCCTTGGGCACCGGGTCAGCTGGGAAGGTGACTGCTTTCTTCCTGGCTGGCATTGACAAGCAGGCACTAGCTGGCTGAGCGCTACGTTACCTTCCTGTCCGATGTGGCACCTCCCGGTAGGATCCAGCGCCGGACTCCAGGGTCTCCCTCACGCACATCCTCTTCTATTGGAATGTGCAAAGAGACCAGGAGTAACTCATTTGGTTCAGGGGAGCACAGCCTCCCTTCCTCCTGCTCACCACAGAGTAAATCCCATCTCCCTGGTGCTGGCTGCCGAGCCCGGAACCTCTCTTACTTCAACGCTGCTCAACAGCCCTCCGCAATGTCCATGGAGGGCAAAGTCTGAGCACCCCAAACTGAATTCACTCTGGGAGCAAGCGGCCTCCAGGCTCTGAGGCAAGTGACCTCAGAGCAAACCCTTCCCTACTGACCCACCCTGGGTAAAACCTTTCCCTGCGCAGCTGCAGAGCTCCATTAGCCACGACTACATCCCACTCTCACATCTGCAAGCCCAGCCCAGGATGTGAGCAGTGTTTTAGTACAGCTCAGCAGGTGCTGAGGAGACCCGTGTCAAAGTGGGAACGCAGGGCTCCCACACGTGCTGCTGCCTCCAGCTGGAAAGGTGCCAGCACAGCAAAGGGATTTTGCCCTTTCCTTTCCCCTGGATGTGTCCCCCCTGCAGACCGGCCAGGGCAAAGTGGGGACAGGAAAAGAGCGCTGGGCCGTGGGCTGCGGAGCGCTGCAGGGCGTTGGGCCCACGGGGAGCCCCTGGGCATCTGACTGTCCTGGCGTACCCGGGCGAAAATGGCCTCAGGGCTCAGGTCCTGCGGGAGCGGGTGCCGGTGGCGCACGGTCTGCGGTGGAGCTCTGCTGGGGCACAATGGTCACAGCACTGTTAGCGGCAGGAAGATCCGATCCCATCCTCCTCCCAAGCTCACCAGAAGCAGTAGCAGCGCGACGGGGTCTCTCAGCACGGATGGTGTCTGCGGTTGGGCCACTGTAGAGGCCGTTTTGCCGTGCGGGCCACACGAAGACAGGAGCGATGCGGGCTGGTAGGGTCGCATTGCACACCAGGAGCCCCTGCTCCCAGCAGCGATCCCTGCAGCACCACGCAGGGCAGCGCCAAGGGCAGCACTATGGCCATCGCTAGGCCACCCGTGTCCTCATCTCACCCGTGCCCTGTGCCACCTGCAGCCCTCACAACCTATGTCCCTGTGCCACCTGTCTCTGTATCCCACCCGTGTCCCCCTGCCACCTTCATCCCTGACACCCAGGGTCCCTGTGCCCCTGACAAGGAGTGTCCTACTGCCACCCGTGTCCTCATCCCACCCGTTTCCCTGGGCCACCCGTGTCCTTATCCCACGCACATCCTACTCCCTCGCTCACCCAAGGCAGTTGCCGCGGGTCGAGGTGCTCACACCTCGGCCGATCACAGTGGCCGGCCCGCTGGTACTGGCCATTTTCCTCCGCAGGCGCCAAGCCATCACGTCCCAGGCGGTGGGAAAGCGGGCGATCAGGCTGGCTCTGGGCCTGTACGGGGGCAGCCGCAGTGGGGGACAGGGCCTGGGGGGCAGCCACCGTGGGGGAGAGCGCAGGGGCAGAAGGCGCCTGGCGGGCGGGCGGGACCGCAGCGCCCACCAGGCACCCCCCAAGCCCAGCGCCGCTCCCAGCAGCGATCCCTGCAGCAGGCTGGTGACCGCCACCAACAGCGCCACTGGCAGCGCCGACGGCCAGCGCCGAGGGCAGCGCCACCGGCCCGGCAGCGCCATCGCTCTCGGTCTCCTCTGCAACGGCCACCGGCCCGGCACGCGCTGCGGGAGCCGCGCCCAGGGACCTCGGCAGTCGCCGCGTTCTACAGCTCGTGGCCCTGTTCCACCGGCCCCGCCGTTCCAGCCGCCTTCTACTGACAGCCCTGTGCCACCCGTGCCCCTGACAGCCAGCCTCCCTGGGCCACCCCTGTCCTTAGCCCACCCTCGCCTCTGTGCCTGCAGCTTCCAGAGCCCTGCTGTGTCCTGCCGGGCAGGCACCATGGCACGGACGATGCCAGGGACCGCACAAGAACACGGTTCCCCTGAGCATCTCCCGTGCCACGGCCCTGCCGTGCGGACCCTGCAGCCCAGCTGAGGAGGGCAGGGCTGTCTGCACGGCCTCACCTCGCCGGAGAGGGAGAGGGCTGGTGGGGCGGCCAAAGCCCGCCCTGCTCCTCAGGACTGAGCAGGGGCCACGTCGTGGTCGCCCCCACAACACTCGGCAGCGGAGATGTGCCGGATGGCCCCTTGCGGCCAGCGCTGCGGTAAAGAATGCCCGCTTGCTAAAAGTCCACATCGAGTCTTAGAGAGCTCTTGCAGCCACACTTTCAGCGTACTTCCCAGAGAGGTAGCAGGGGCACACAGGGAACGCCCACGGAAAATAACAAACCGAGTGCAAACCACCAGGTTTCTGATCTCAGCAGCTGCCAAGCGCCGCACCTGAGATTCAGGGGAAATCTGTGCTCAGAACTGGACTGGGTTTTAACGCAGGCAGAGCAAGCTTTGCTCCTTACAGCTAGTAAGGGCATCACAGGCTCCTCCTGAGCTCTCAGGGGGACAGCCCAGCACTGGCACCCATTGGAATCAAGGTTGCCCTTGCTGGTGACAAATGTGTTGTATTGAAACGTGCAGCCCTCATGTCCCTTCAGGTCTTTCTGGCGAGAGCTGGGGGCAGAGGAGGATGCTCACGCAGCTCCCGTGCGTGCTGCTGAAAATGGACACGTCGGCAACCGCGGCTTCCACAGGGGCGCGCAGGAGCGCTCGGGGCTGCCCCACGCTGTATTTCTTCTTCGTCTCTGTTCTTTCTATGCAGTAATGATCAGATGCATTGCTAACTTTCTCCAGTACTCATATATCTCTGGTCTTATTATACTCATTCAATAGAGATATTTACCTAATTCACATTAGTATGCTTGCTTTTAGTGTGTTTATTGGTTTCAGTGTGCTTGTTTAATAGATTCTGCATTATAATAGAGTGTGGTCACTTTGGGGTGTGGAGTGCAGTGAAATTCCTTGCGGGCGGGGTGAGGAGAAGGGCGGTAGGGGGATCCGGCCGCCCGCCCGCCCGCCCGCCGCTGTCCGGGACCCTGCGTGCTGCGGCGGCGGCCGGCGCGGAGCCAGACCGCCGGGGGGCGCGTTGCGGAAGGGCCGAGGGCCACTCGCCGCCGCCTCGGGCTCTCGGAGCACCAGGAGCCGCGCCTTCCCCGCCGCCGCCGGGACTCCCTCCGCGGGCAGAGGTGGGGGGAATGGCGAAGTTCCAGTCCGCCTTGCTACTGCGGAGACAACTAGCAAGTACCCGGGCTGGCGGGCGGCGCGGGGAGAGCCGATCCGGTGTCGGGGAGAGGAGGCCGGCGGGACTCTGAGGGACCGGGGCCTGCTATGGGGAAAGGGGCGCCTGCTCGGGGAAGGTGCGGGGGGCCGGTGGGGTGTATGTGCGCGGGAGGAAAGGGGAAATCGTAGCTCCCCTGCAGCTCTGCTGCCCAGCCGGGAGCTGAGGCAACTAGGCCGAGGGCGGGAGGAGAGCCTGCCGGCGGTCGCTGCCAGGGCAGCCGGGGTAGGGGTGCGGAGGGCCGGCATGGCGGGGGAGGCCTTTCCTCCGCTGCCCCCGTCCCGGCAGGGAAGTGGGATTTGGCAACGACGCTGCTCGCCTGCCGCCCCGCCACCCCGCGCCACTCTCGCAGCTCGCTCTGCCCGGCGCGGAGAGTGCAGAAGGGAGCCGCGGCTTCGCTCCCCGCGGTGAGGGGGTTGTGTGCGGAGAAGTCTCTGGTGTGAGGGGGGATGTTTGTCAGGCACAGAGAAGCGGCGGAGGACGGAGCCCGTCTGGAAGCGGTACTTCGGGCCTGGGGTGACTCGCCCCGTTCGCGCACCTTCCTGTGAGGACCTGAGGTGCCCCAGTCCCGCCTCCCCTCCTCACTCCCACCTTCACCTCCCGTACCCTGAGCCGTGGAGGGCGGGCCGGGAGGGGGAGGCTGCTACTTCCCTTGCTGTGAGGAGGAGAGCCGGGGGCTCTGCAGGCCCTGACGGTGGGGAGAGGACAGGGCAGTACCGGGACAGGGGCGGAGGGGTGGGGGGGAGGGCCTGCCCTGGGGAGGGCGAGTGGGACTGCCCGCTGCTGGGGGGAGCCTGCACGGAGGAGCAAGGGGGCTGCGCCAAGGGCGAGAGGGCGGGACGGGTGCGGGGAAGGAGGAGTTGTGGAGCCTGGGTTCGGGGACGGGAAAAGCCGGGGCGCCGGGCCCGCGAGAGAGCGCGGCCGTGCGGCGGCGTGGCGGGCAGGGAGCGGCGCCGGGCTCCTCCTGCCGGGCTCCTCCTGCCGGGCTCCTCCTGCCTGCGCGCCGGAAGCACCGGCCTCCACGGGGCGTCACTTCCGCCGGGCGGGGCCCCAGCTCCGAACACAACCAAGCCCCAGAAGAGGGATGAGGCGAGGGAGGGGGTCGAGCCGCGTAAGTGCTCTCAGGAGCCGCTCTGGGCCCGGCGGAACCTCAGCCGGTAGCAGCGCTCGATGGGGGAAGGTCCCGCAGCTGCTGCCGCGCTCCCGACCTGCCCCGCGCTCACCGCCCCCAGCATCCCGGCGTGCCTCGCGGCCCGGCCCTGGGGTAAAGGTCACGGGGCGGCACGGGGTAGGCGGGAATGCAACGCTCTGGCCCGGTTTTTCAGCCGCCGCCGCCGCTTTGGCGGAGCAGGCGCAGCCCATCAGCCCCGTGAAGAATTTCTTTGCTGGCGGCTTCGGGGGGGTCTGCTTGGTGTTCGTGGGGCACCCGCTGGACACCATCAAGGTGAGGCAGTGGGTACCGACGGGGCCCGGTGCCGTGCGGTGCGGTTCGGTTCGGTTCGGTTCAGGCCGTGGCAGCCGGCGGGGACTACGGTTCTGGGCGGGCACTGCGCGGGGAGAAGCACGGCTGCCTGCGGGCGGTGGTGGGAGGACTACGTATCCCGACGTGCACCGCGCGGAGGGAGGCTGGACGGCTTTAAGGTGCCTGTGTACCTCGTGGGGCCGGTAATGCGCCGGGGCGCCCTCTGCCGGTGCGGAGGCCGCCGGGTCCCGTTTATAGCTGGTTTGTGGTAAACGTTAAAACAAGGGCGTCGGTGTTTTTGGCGTTGGAAGGAGTCGGGAGGTGAAGCTGATCCCGTCAGCACCGGGCTGCGGCGGGGACCCGGCCCTCTGGGTCAGGAGACGCAGGGCAGACACATGGAGACAAATGGGGTGCAGAAGGAGGGTGCACACACCCCCCCCCCCCAAATGTGTGAGGAAGTGGAGCAGTGACACGACATTAGCTCTCGGGTAATGAGGTGGGGGTGTTATCCTGATGTCATCCCAGCGATTAATTCACTGAATATGTTAATAGTTAAATGCATTAAAATTCAGTCTCTTCTGCAAAGGGTGAAAGTGGTGTCAATCTCTAACGCCATCATAAAGTCCAGTCACAAAGCTTATTTTGTAACAATCATATCATCATAACATAGAATGGTTTTGGCTGGAAGGGATCTTAAAGTTCATCCAGTTCCAGCCCCCTGCCTTAGGCAGGGACACCTTCCACTAGATCAGGTTGCTCCAAGCCCCATTCAACCTGGCCTTGAGCACTTCCAGGGATATATTTCATATAGAGGTATTCTCAGAATTAAAATTTATACAGTAATATTTAATAAAATATTGGTTTCATATCTCATCTCACTAGGTCAGACTGCAAACCCAGCTGAAGCTGCAGCCTGGTCAGCCTTTGCTCTATTCTGGGACCTTTGACTGCTTCAGAAAGACTCTGGTTGGAGAGGTACAGTGTTAGCATGTCATCTGCAGCGCCTGCCAAAAACATCAGTTGTTTCTGTGTGTGGCAGGAATGGAATCGTGTGGGAATGTTGCCCTCCTGGAGACTACACCATTCTGGGGTTACCAGCTGGAGTGGTTCTAATCCAAGTTTATAGATGGGTTAAAAAATTTGTGGAATACTTGTCATCCACATGACCTCCATGTGTATGTCTCTATTTTGTTAAACGCTTTTGGTTCAAAATAGCATGCTATTAATGCCTGAAGTTATAGGCTGGAGTGAATGTTGGCAGCTGTTTGCCAGCTTTGTTGTTGCAGTCAGTGGAATCTTGCTGTCTTTGGTATTTGGAGTTGTCTCTGGAAATGCTGATATAGGCAGAATATCAACTTTGTTGATACAAGTAGTATTTTTGCTTTTTTCTATAATGTGTTATACCGCCTGCAAGAAGGCAGAGGAGCATTAATAGGCAGTTTTATTTCTCTTTCTATTTGGTTTTTGGATAACAGAGGGGCAGTTATGTTTTGTAGCAGTTTTGTTCAGTTTTCAGAAGGTGGACAGTGGCTTTCACTCCGGAATCAGCCCTATCACGTGATTGAACCCTAGTCTATTTTGGTTTTAGAAGGACAGGCAGCCTTGGTTTAAAGTCTTGTAAGTGACACAGAACCTATTTTTCTGCTTCACAAGTTTTCCCAGCAGCTATTTACCACTTAGAAACAATGGCTGTAAAGCCCAACTGTTGGTTTACTAGTCTGATTTCTAACCATTGGATCTTGTTGGGTAACTAAGGTCTGCCTCATATCCAAAATCTTCTTTCATGATGGTATTAACAGGTTGTTATGCAACCAAAATAAATCTTGTTTCCCTAGTCTCTCCTACAAAGCACTGAAATGCTTTTTTAGCCCTGAATCTCCTGTGTTTTTTAACACCCCTGCTGAAGCACAGACATTAGAGCCGAACCATAATAATAGCCTTTTGATGTGAAGTTCGAAGGAATGCCGTCTCTCAACTCCTACTCAATACTCATCAATTTTTATGAGGAAAACTATTAAACCTCCCTGCCAAGGCCTTTTTTTCCCTCTGGGGGAAATGGAAACGGGGAACTGCTCACAGGAAGGTTGAGCAGGAGTGTCTGATCTTTCTCAGCCACATCCAGTTTAATTACAGTCAGTTGTGCCTATAAGAGTACAGACACGTACTGAGATACAGTAATTTATTTTGGGAGAGGAAAGAAAGGGGTGGACAGACCAGCAAATATTTAATTTGTGCATCTAGCCTTTATCTAGAAAGATAACTCCTTTCTGTTAGATAAAGTTCAGTTCAAAGGCAAGATAAATGAAATAACTGCTGCTGCTGGGGTCAGCATGAGAAGTTTTCCATGTGTGTAGCCTGCTGAAAGGAAACATCAGGAGTGTAAATTTGTATGCTGAAAAGGTTTTGACTTGGGGACAGAAAAAAACAACCCAACAATTTGCTCTTGAACTCGTTTCAAATTCGAGTTTGTGTGGGGAGTGAAGTTGTTCAGGTTGGTCTCCTTGGATCTTCCTTTATTTAGAGAGTGAATCCAGCATTCTCAGGCTCAGTGTCAGGATTTTACACTACTGCATTTGATGACTTGTTAATAAAGCACACTTATGAATAAGACTTGCAACGAAATCCTTAGGACTATTACTCTGTTGGCTTTCAACTTAATTTCCTCATACTTGAGATATAAGTACAGGATGACCAGTACTGGAACAGGAGGGTATAAGTGGTGCCTGTTACAAGGTTGTTCCCTTGTAACAACCGCTGAGCCTCAGCTAAACATGTATCATTACAAATGAACAACAGACCCCGTTATTCCTGTGATTAATTTGGTTGTATGACTGACACTGTATTGTAGCTGTTCTCTTCTCAGTAAGTTGATGTTTGCAAAGTATGCAAAACCAATTAATTCTTGTGATATTGTTTCTTGCAGGGAGTCTGAGGCTTATACAGAGGAATGGCAGCTCCTATTATCGGAGTGACACCCATGTTTGCTGTGTGCTTCTTTGGATTTGGCTTGGGAAAGAGGCTCCAGCAGAGAAAACCTGACGACGTTTTGACGTGAGTTGCTGAGTTAATCAGACACTTGGGAAAGGCACTCCAAAGCTCTTGCAGGCTGCTGCATTGTTGCATGTTGAGTGTGATGTAAATTTGTCTCCTTTCCTAGGTTATAAATATAGTTCTAAAAATTAAAACACTTGTGTTTAAATGCTTCTGGAAGCGTGGATCTGATAGCACAGGCTAAAAACAGACAGCATGTGGGCAGGTGCTGTGCAATTCCCTTTCTACATGAGAAAGAGCCATTAAGGAACAATTCTGGTTTAGATGGGTACAGTATGAGCTACATAATGATTGCCTGCCAACAGCTCAGCCCCCCCTCCTGCCCCTTCCCTTTGTCCCGCGCCGCCGGTCGAGCGCGGACCCTGCCTGGGCCGCGAACGGAATCTAGTCCGGCCCGACCCGGCGCGCAATGCGGCTCCATGCGTCTCTCGCTGCTAGGTTTAAAGCAAAAGGAGCTGGCAGCGGGTGCGGAGGGGCTCGCTCCGCCCGCACATGGCTCCGCGGCCTCCGCCTACAGTAACTCCCTCCCACGAGAACACGCGCGAGTCCGCCCGGCTCCTCGTGAAAATCCCATTGCCTTTTTCGTCCCTTACGTAAAAATTGCCTCATACCCCGATAAGGAAATGCGTGCTGGGTGCGCCGACATGGGGCATTTACAACCCCCACTGGAGCGTGCTGGGTGTTCATGCAAGGGATGGGGCTTCGGAGTAGCACAGCAATCCGCGGAGGAGGATTTGGCCTGAGACTTGTGAGAAACGACTGATTGGCTTTCGCAAATCATAGGTGTGGTTATGTGAATATAACTGTACGAGTTTACAATAACGGAAACAAAGCTCGCTAAAGACACAAAATTAGACAAGTTAAAAAGGGCTAGAACTCTTTAGCAAAACGGAGTCACATAGCAAAAGAATTTGTAAAGGTAAAAGAAGGGGGGGGATTTTTTTTACCCCTTTAGGGTGACATTCTTTTAAAAAATAATCTCACACATACAGTGGCTGGGCTCCTGGACATAAGCATGGACCTTAATGCCTTAGTAACTACTGAAGTTGCTACTGACATTCAGTGAGGTGTCTGCACCTTTGGATATGCTAATAACACTAGGTTTAGGCTTAATATAGGAGCTGGAGTTTATGCAAAGCTTCTCTTTGCTATAAATGATCCCTCTAGGGAAGCAATAGTTTAGAACAGTCGCTCTCTAACTTGATCAAAATGAGCCTTTAGTAAGCTAATATAGTTCTTCGGTTGTTTGGGATGTCTCTTTTAACTGGCTAATTGTGCTCCATGAAAGAAAGCTTGACATTTAGCTGAAGCCTCTTGATAATAAGTATTAGTTGTTGGTTTCTGTTGTGTGTGGTTTTTAACTTGTATTGTGAGGTCTTAAGACCTTCTAAAAGAACATGCTGTTTGAGTGTTTAAGTAGACTTTTAGACCATTATATTTGGGGTTAACTTCTAGTTACCTTTCTATTCATTTCTGAAGGTTTCATGTTGTAACGGTAAAAACTAGTAAGCTTTTCCAGTTGCTCCTATTACTGATTCAACTTTGCTTACTCAAGTACTGCAGCCATTTGCATGTATCGTGCATCTCTTCTGGGGTGGTGGTGGTGTGTTTTAAGTACTATAAGTGCCTTTAGCAGCCTTTTATATGCATTCAAAACAAAATTGAAACAATATTAAAAGTGACTGTGATTGTGCATTACTTGTGTGTGGTGAATACTGAAGTACTTCAAAAGTGCCATCTGGAGTAACTGACCTAAAGAAAATAGTTTCTCTATGATAACCCAAGTTAACATCTGGGCTGAGCTGAAACTAGACTCTGACACTGCTTGTTCTGATGGCAGGCTGCTTGAAGTTGCAATGCAGAGGCTGCGCTTCATGATGTCTGATGCCTCTTCCCTGCTGTCTTCTCCCAAGTCAGCTGCTCCCATGTGTCCCTTTGTTTACACCCACATTACTTGTTCTGCCTCAAAACAAAAATCAACACTGTTATTCTTTCCCCTGGTGAGGCTGATACTTCAGCCCTTCTGCTGCTTGCCTGCAGCTTTTGTGTTGTGTGGTGAGTCACTGGGTTGAACCTAATGGTTGGGTTTTGGAGGGCAATGAACAGGCAGTAGATACGAGCTTAAATTGCTCTAGATCACTCAGTTGTCAAATTAGCATTACTCAAGCACAAGGGGTCTGCAGTTGGAGCTGTTGGACTTGGAGCAGGACATCCAGAAGTGGAGGGAGGTTGAAGGGGGAATCCAAAACCTATATAAAGGTGGAGCAGTTGAGGAATATTAAAGTGTTTTAATGAGTGAGGTCTTGGATAGCTCTTTTCAATCCCATGAGGAAAAACAATGACAGGAGGAGAAAGGAATGTACAACAGTAGGTCTCAGAATGAATATCTGTTCTGTCTCCCATAAGCTTTGTTTCTCGATAAAGACATTATGGGGAAAATAAGTGTTATGGCACATAGCGCTTTAATGAGTAACCTAAGTTTTAAGTCTTGAAGACTTTGCTAAAGGTTAACTGGCAGTTCTTGGTTGTCAGTGAGACAGAACTCTACAACATAATCCCAGGTTGCTTCAATAAGCATATGAAGACAGACTTCTGTTTTTCTCTTGAGCAAGCTGTCTTGTATTGTAACTTGAGCAGGTAAATAGTATCACAGCACCATATATACACACGCTTGTCATCTTAAGTGGCATGTTGTGGATGCTTATAATGCTCTAAGAGAAGGGATATTCAATGTCAGTCACAAAATATAACTTCAGGTTAGATGTGGGTTGTTGTTCTCCCTCCCAACCCCCCAAATACTAAGCTTCCCAGTGCCTTTGCTAATGAAACAAATGAGCTGTATCACCAGGAAATCACTATAGTAGCTGTTCCTGTATTGACTCTTGCTTGCCCCCATTTAGGTGCAAGAACAGTTCAAATCATGCCAGTCCGACCTTTGGGTAGGTTTTGTTTAAGTGTTTAAAGAAAGTGGTGACTGGGGATCTCTGACTACCAAAAGCCAGTTAGAGTACTAGTCTGAGTAGCTGGAGCTGAAGGGAGGTTCTTTTCTATGTATATCTGTAAAGCTAAATGGCTATTCCTTCTCAAATTAACTTAATTGTAAGCTCAAGCAGCTTTTGGAAATGTCTTAAAATTCAGTGTATGTGCTTGTTCTTACAGATGTCATTTGTTTTGTTATGTTTGTGGTTTTTTTTAAGGCCAAAGGCACTTTGTTGTACCTTGGTAGTAATGTGAAGTCAGGATTGTTTTGTTGTGTTTTTTTTTTTAAGGCCAGAGGCACTTTGTTGTGCCTTGGTAGTAACGTGAAGTCAGGACCTGTCCATTTTTTTTTTAAGGGTAAGGTGCAGGAAAAACTAGAAGAGTGAAGTGCCTCTGACGGCCACACCCCTCACCCCCCCCAAAAAAAAACCAAAACACGCCAAAAACCAAAACCAACAGCAAGTGTGCAGATCAGTATAGCACTAGGTTGGCAGAGTTCACCCCCCAGGGGAGGTGGAGGAGGGCAGTCTGTGTTCTCTATACTGTCCCAAAACTTCATGCTCTTTAAAAAGAGGCAGGAGACAACTGAGAGTGTAAAGCTTCTCTTCCATTCTCCAGAGCTGTCAAGCCCAAGGGTGTTGCAGACTGAGCCATTTCTGAGTGCTTTTATTTCATCTTTCTGCCAAATCCTTGCTGACACAGAGACTTGTTTGAGTAGGCAGACTTGTCTGGTTCAACCAGCAAAATCGTGCAGGGAGGATGCATGCAGTGGAACCAGAAGTGCAAGTGCTCTTTAATGTAAACATGGACCACTGAAACCAGGGGAATAGCCATGCCCTTGTTGGCTCCATTTGCAATATGTTGTAAATATTCTCAAATTTAGTGCAGAATACCCTGCACTAATACTGCTCTAAAACAGGAGAAATGTGGCATTATTTCAATTTAGAGTGGACACAGCTCCTATTTCAAGCTGTAAATGTCTAATTAAAAGTGAAATTAACAAGTTAGAAAACTATTAAATACTTAATGTGACAGCTCAGTGGTTTTTATTTGTGTGGAAAATGTCTTGCAATGTAATCTCGAGTGGGTCGAGTTTCTGGCAATTACACAGGATTTGCTTTTGAAATATTCGAGTAGTGAAAATTCTGAGGGAATTAGGGAATTAAGATCACTTTCCAGATCAAAGCTGAGATGCAGCTTGGGCGGCTGGTTGTGAGAGAAGCCTTTGTTACATTGGAGTGCTGGTTATTTGGTGGCTTACACTAGGTTTGTCTACAGGATGATCAGTTGAGTGGCACTGATCTGAAGTATTAAGGAGATGCTAGTCTGTCTGTTAAGCTTCCTTGGAGAGATCTGTATGGCAGTAATATTCTGTATTATCCTCTATAGTTAAGACTCCAAGGTCCTGGCCATGTCTAACTTGACTTCACTATCGCTTAAAAATGCTGTAACCACCCTGCTTTTTTAAAGGACTCATCGTATTTTTAGATAACAATCTTTGTTGCTCTGATGCTTTTTGGGATGCTTCGATACAGCATGTGTGTACCACTCACCTTCACACTCTTGCAGTGTAGGGCCCCGTTACAGCAGATTAAATAATTCTGTTTCTTGTGAGTATGTGTTGACAGAATCATCAAAGCTCCTTGCTCATGCTGACTATAGATAGTATCAGGCTAAACCACATGCTTTGCTGTAGTGTAGAGTCAGAGCAGTACCAGCAGCCTGAATTTCTGTTGCACTGCAAATAAGATAATGGAGATGACTTGTGGCAAACTTTACTAGCTGCACTTAATAGCTTTGTGAATGTTCCTCTTGCAGAAATAAGCTGAACTGTCCCTCTTCAAAGAAGAGTATTTATGACAGCAGTCACGAGAGCTAAAATTCAGGGATGCTGGCAGTTTTGGGAAGTGAGGTTTAGCTAATCCTCAGAATGGAGGACCTTGATGACTCAACCAGCTGTTTTAACAGGATGAAGCAGTATCAGCCTTCTTTATAAGCTTACTCTGTGATGGGGCAGCTATAGTCACAGCCAGTTGGCTCTGGCTAGGTCGGTTTACTAATATTTCAGGGAAGGAGCCAAGCTTATCATAAATTAGTAATTCTTTCCTTCTCTGCTCCTCCAAACAAGGCAGTGTAATTTACACCAAAGTATGGACATAGCTGACAGTGAAGT